GAATGATCACTCGTTACTTTACATATTAAATGTGTGATTTAACTCCGATTTTATTTTTGTTTTCGAGGGAATTTTTTGGGTCGAATGCCCTGGTTGATTTGGCGGAAATAAAAAAAATCTGATTTGCATCTTGCTACTCATCACCTACTCATGCACCTGGCATTTTTTACTTGTGAAATTGAAGGTAAAGAATGTCTCAATTTAAGTGATAAAACTTTTACAATTTTCAACAATCATAATTAGCGTATTAGACGTAATAATTAGTTACACCTGTGAATCGGTGCTAAATGTCGCTTTGCATTGTTCTAAAAATAGAATATGTGCGAAAGTAAACAATGGATTTTAATTACATTTGTATTACTATCAAAATAACAATTGGACAATTTGTTATCGTGCGTTCTTTGGTGTAGTACCAATTACCTTTTGTAATTTCAATCACGTTTTATTGTTAACTAATTTTCACCAGCACCTGATTGCTTTGTTTTAGTATACAAAATGTATACGCTGTACATGTTCAAATGCTAAATATTTATAAATACATGACATTTACAAGATTTTTTTAAAGTTTTCAAAATTAAAGACCAAAGGAATGACCAAGTAGTACTTTCTAATACAATTATTGCTGAAGATTCGCCGTAAATTACGGCGATACATCGCGGCAATTTTTCGTGAACCGCCATGAAATTCGGCGAACTTGCACTCGGCGATGTTTTACCGCGTAGTGTCCCGTCGCGACATAGACTACACTCGCGGCATTACGCGACTTTTGCGGGTTTCGCGTGTCCAGTACTGTAAAAATAGAATATGTGCGAAAGTAAACAATGGATTTTAATTACATTTGTATTATTATCAAAATAACAATTGGACAATTTGTTATCGTGCGTTCTTTGGTGTAGTACCAATTACCTTTTGTAATTTCAATCTCGTTTTATTGTTAACTAATTTTCACCAGCACCTGATTGCCTTTGTTTTAGTATACAAAATGTATACGCTGTACATGTTCAAATGCTAAATTTTATAAATACATGACCATTTACAAGATTTTTTTAAAGTTTTCAAAATTAAAGACCAAGGGAATGACGAAGTAGTACTTTCTAATACAATTATTTTTCGCCGTAAATGGCGATACATCGCGGCGATTTTTCGTGAACCGCCATGAAATTCGGCGAACTTGCACGCGGCGATGTTTTACTGCGTAGTGTCCCGTCGCGACATAGACTTCACTTGCGGCATAACGCGACTTTTGAGGGTTTCGCGTGTTCAGTACTGTATTGACGGACTTTAGTAAATTGTTTAAGCTGTACTGTACATTTATGGAAAGTAGATTTATAATTGATATTGAGATATGTTTCTTATTTCTTTTATGGTTTATAAAGTTTCCTTGCTTATAATTCCAAAGAAAAAAAGACACAAAAAATGTCTCGAGATGACATCTAACATGTCAGGGTGTTCACTAGCTATGAAATCCTGAGGGTCATTTTGACTGTTTTACCGACTACAAGGCAAAATACCCATGATTTTAACAAAATTTAACCCTCCAATTAAAATCCTGAGGGTCAAATCAGGCCTATTGGAAATTTGAAAAGTCAAAGGGTCATTTCAAGGGTCAAACGGACACCCTGCATGTCTTTCAAGTTCTACTTGAGACGTAGAAATGGTTGAATTGATTTTGGCTGCTCGATGAGCGAACAAATAATATCTACTTCTGTACTATATGTGATGACTATTTCTAACAAACGAATCTTAAGATGAGCAATCTGGGGCCAATATGGTTCCTCTAGTGATAGTAGCAATGCCTTCATTTGTATGTCAAAGTTCATGGTCCCTTAACTGGGGCCAGCTTTCAGGGCATACAAGTGTTTTGTGATCAATCATAGTTAATAATGGTTTTCCTTTGATTCTTACAAATTGTAGCTAAAAATATTTTTTGTTTGTTTTAGAAATCAAGATGGCACATGAGATACATTTAAAGAACAAAAAATACCGGCAGTGGGTTAAGGCTGGCTAGGCTTGGGTTATCTTAAAGAGGGACTTGCGCCATTTTTGTGATGACATAGGAAGACAGCAGCACAGCGATATTATAAACAAATACAACAAACAAAGACTCCTCAACCAAACATACCATGTGGCACTGTCAGATAACAACTCTCCAGCCAGATCATGTCCGAGTCTCAAAAGGGATATGTCCCCCTCCAAACAAGATAAATGTAACTGTTGTTTTTCCTAATAATAAGAGACCCTGTCCAAACAATGTATGTGGTGCCATCTATGACAGCATTATACAGTATCATGCATCAATGCCACCAGTACCTTTTTGGAAAAACAGTGATGTCCAACAGTGGTCAACAGAACCATGGGAGGTTTGCAAATGTTTTATAAATGCTCCTGGGTACAAGGACAAGACATCAGCAGTCGACACTGATTGCACTGGTTTGCTTCATGTTATCATAAATAACAAGTACTTTCATAGTCACATTGGATGCAATGTTAGCGGACCAAACAATCTTTTTTCAAAGGTAACTAGATTTTTATACTATAATTATTATGTTTTTTTTTAATTTTGAAGAATATTAAGCTTTACTGTAATATTAAGTCTGTTAATTAAGTATAAAAGCAAAAGAGAATGTTTTTACCTTAGTGCAGTTATTGGTTAACTCTTTATTATACCCCAAAAACGAAGTTTGGGGGGTATATAGGAGACACCCAGGTGGTCGGTTGGTTGGTCGGTCCAGCGGTCCTTTGCATTTTCCTTGTCTGGAGCATAACTTGAAAACTAATGGTTGGAAGTCAAATAACTTAATAAAATGGTCAAGCACATTGAGAGGAAGTGCAGTGCACAAGAACCATTACTCCATCTTGACTAATTACAGAGTCACTGCCCCTTGTTACTTTTCCTTGTCCAGGGCATAACTTAAAAACTACTGGTTGGAATTCAAAACAACTCCATACAATTGTCAAGCACAATAAGGGGAAGTGCAGTTCACAAGAACCATAACTGTATCTAAAGTAATTACAGAGTTAATGCCTTTGTTACTTTTCCATTGCTTTCTTTTGTCCGGACCATAACTTGAAGACTAATAGTTGGAATTCAATATAACATCATACAATGGTCAAGCACATTGAGAGGAAGTGCAGTGCACAAGAACCATAACTCCATCTTGACTAATTACAGAGTTACTGCCCTTTGTTACTTTTCCTGCCAGAGCATAACTTGAAAACTACTGGTTAGAATTCGAAACAACTTCATACAATTGTCAAGCACAATAAGGTAAAGTGCAGTGCACAAGAAACCATAACTTAATCTTGACTTATTACAGCGTTATTGCCCTTTGTTACTTTTCCATTGCTTTTTTTGTCAGGAGCAAGACTTGAAAACAAATGGTTGGAATTCAATATAATTTCATACAATGGTCAAGCACAGTTAGAGGAAGTGCAGTGCACAAGAACCGTAACTTCATCTTCATCTTGACTAATTACAGAGTTATCGCCCTTTGTTACTTTTCCTTGTTCGGACCATTACTTGAAAACTACTGGTTGGAATTCAATGAAACTTCATACAGTTTGTCAAGCACATTAAGAGGAAGTGCAGTGCACAAGAACCATAACACCATTTTGACAAATTACCGAGTTATTGCCCTTTGATACTTTTCCTTGTCCAGAGCAAAAAACCTCAAACGTACTGGTTGGAATTAAAAAAAAAACTTGATACAATGATTCAAGCACAATAAGAGGAAGTGCAGTGCACAAGAACTATAACTCTGTCCAGAGAAATTATAGAGTTATTGCCCTTTGTTGCTTTTCCATTGCTTTTTTCTTGTCCAGAGCATAACTTGAAAATTACTAGTTGGAATTCAATACTACTTCATACAATGGTCAAGTATACTGCCCTTTGTTACTTTTTATTGTCCAGTGCATAACTTGAAGATTAATGGTTGGAATTCAATGAAACTTCATACAATGGTCAAGGGCAGTGAGATGAATTGCAGTACACAAGAACCATAACTCTGTTTGGACTAATTACAGTTATTGCCCTTTGTTATTTTTTGTCCTGTGCATAACTTGAAGACTTGTAGTTGGAATTCAATACAACTTCATACAATGAGAGGAAGTGCAGTGTTCAATAACCATAACTCCATCTTCAGTATTTATAGAGTTATTGCCCCTTTTTCCATTTCCTTGTCTTTCTGGACTTATTGCAGAGTAATTCAATAAGACTTCATCAATGGCCAACCACATTGAAAGGAAATGCAATATACAAGAACCACAACTATCTTTAATTGCCCACAACCATAATTGTATTTCAATTGTTTTACAAGGTATTCTGTTACTAGTAACATCCTCATTTCCAAAAGCAGTCTTGTGGGGGTATTTAATCACATTTAGTGATAGTTCTAGTTGAATTTTTATAAGAGTTTACCCATTACCGCACTAAGATGAAATTATATATAACTATGAGTTAATGCAGTTTAATTTTGCCAGAGAAACCAATTTGCAACAAATGAATAATGATTCAAAATTGTTACGCATAAAGTTGTATTCTTAAATATATTTCAGCAATACAATCTTTTCGCTAGCTCTTATTTTTGTGGGAAGGAAACAAAAACTATTTCTATTTTAAGCCTCACTGTAAAATGTACAGAAGTAGGTTATTTGTGCTTTTTAAGTAAATGCAACACGTAAATACCATAACTTCAGTAAAAATAATTATAAAATTTATCAAAAACCATTTCTATTCCATTTTGCTTTTATATAATCTGCAGTTTAAACACAATCATAATAATGATTATTATGGTAAGTTCTTTAAAGTGACTCCTTATTTACAGTTTTAATTCTCAACTTAGGAATTGTGTTTAGTCTCATTGCTGAACACTGTATTTTATGTGAATGTTGTACTATTTGTTTTCTGTATATTAGGTACGGCAGTATCGAAATGAGATTTTTTCACTCAAGCTCTATGGAGTTAGAGGAGAGCAAGGCTAATTGTTATATTGATGACATGATAGCTGTTCTACAAGATGGTAAAGAACTTTTACATCGACAACATGCACAACAAGCTGTCAGGAAAACTTCAAGATGTAAGTGTACATAAAGAATTATATTTGAAATCTTAAAGTTGTAATAATTTAAAAAATAAGCTCAGCTCTAAATTCAGGTAAATTTATGATAATAGAATAAAATGCTTTAATTTGTTTCATTTTAATCAAATTTAAATAACAACTGCCTTAAATTAACTTTTATCAATGAAATCAAGTAAAAATACCTACAAAATGTAAATATATAAATGCATATCTTAGTTTTTAATTTTTAGGTTAAAGAAGGAAAAAAAATAAAAATAGAAAAATAGTCCGTAAATCCTGCCTTGATTTGAGAAGTCATAACATAAAGTAAGAGAGTAAAGATTAAAGAAAAATTGAGATGATTTTGAAAAAATAGAGTTTGACCTTATATATGATATGTTATAAATATAATAAATCACATAGCAGCTACATTTGAAAATTGTTTTCTTGTTATAAGCTAAAGAAGAAGGAATTCATTATTACCACTGAAGACTTTGAAGAAATTCTGACACAAATCAAAGAAGAAATGAGAACAGAAAATGCAGCAACCAAAGAGGAATTTGAGGTGCTCACAAGGAAATTAATTGAACTAAAAGCACAGATGTTGGAAGCTGAGAAAGAACGTACAGAGTTAAAAAGAAGATTTACTGTTCATGAGACAGAGCAGAAAGAGGTAGAATGTGTTCAATTGTTTGTTTCTCTTTGATATACCAGAACAATGTATGACTGTTTGTTTCTGGTTGATATATTGGTACATGTTTTACTGCTTGTTTCTGGTTGATTTCCCGGTACATGTATTACCGTTTGTTTCTGGTTGATATACCGGTACATGTATTACTGTTTGTTTCTGGTTGATATACCGGTACATGAATTACTGTTTGTTTCTGGTTGATATATCGGCACATGTATTACTGTTTGTTTCTGGTTGATATACTGGTACATGTATTACTGTTTGTTTCTGGTTGATATACCCGTACATGTATTACTGTTTGTTTCTGGTTGATATACCTGTACATGTGTTAATGTTTGTTTCTGGTTGATAAACCGGGACATATATTAATGTTTGTTTCTGGTTGATGTACCGGTACATGAATTACTGTTTGTTTCTGGTTGATATACCGGTACATGTATAACTGTTTTGTTTCTGGTTGACATTACAGGTACATGTATGACTGTTTGTTTCTGGTTGATATACTGGTACATGTATTACTGTTTGTTTCTGGTTGATACACTGGTACATGTATTACTGTTTGTTTCTGGTTGATATACTGGTACATGTTTTACTGCTTTGTTTCTGGTTGATATACTGGTACATGTATTACTGTTTGTTTCTGGTTGATATAACGGTACATGTATAACTGTTTGTTTCTGGTTCATATACTGGTACATGTATTACTGTTTGTTTCTGGTTGATATACCGGTACATGTATAACTGTTTGTTTCTGGTTCATATACTGGTACATGTATTACTGTTTGTTTCTGGTTATACCCCCACCACAAAATGTGGGGGGGGCTATAATGGATTCGCTTTGTCGCGTCGGTCGGTCCGTCCGTCGGTCGGTCCGTCCGTCTCCATTTTCGTGTCCGCTCTATAACTCCTATACCAAATGAAGGATTTTCCTTAAACTTGGCTCAAATGTTCATCTCAACAAGGGGATGTGCAGAACCCATGTTGCCCATGTGTCAGCTCAAGGTCAAGGTCACAATTCAAGGTCAAATATCAAACACTATCAAATATTACACAGTATGTCGTGTCCGCTCTGTAAGTCCTACACTACTTGAAAGATTTTCTTCAAACTTGGCTCAAATGTTCACCTCAACCAGGGGATGTGCAGAACCCATGTCGCCCATGTGTCAGCTCAAGTCAAGGTCACAATTGAAGGTTCAATTATTCAAACAATTAAATATTACACAGTATGTCGTGTCCGCTCTGTAAGTCCTACACTACTTTGAAAGATTTTCTTCAAACTTGGCTCAAATATTCCCCTCAACAAGGGGATGTGCAGAACCCATGTTGCCCATGTGTCAGCTCAAGGTCAAGGTCACAATTGAAGGTCAAATATCAAACGATTAAATATTACACAGTATGTTGTGTCCGCCTCTGTAAGTCCTACAACTACTTGAAAGATTTTCTTTTAAACTTGGCTCAAATGTACACCTCAACAAGGGGATGTGCAGAAACCCATGTTGCCCATGTGCCAGCTCAAGGTCAAGGTCATAATTGAAGGTTCAAATATCAAACAATCAAATATTACACAGTATGTTGTGTCTGCTCTGTAAGTCCTACACTAATTGAAAGATTTTCTTCAAAACTTGGCTCAAATATTCCTTCAACAAGGGGGATGTGCAGAACCCATGTTGCCCATGTGTCAGCTCAAGCGTCAAGGTCACAATTGAAGGTCAAATATCAAACCAATCTAATATTACACATTATGTCATGTCTGCTCTGTAAGTCCAACACTACTTGAAAGATCTTGGCTCAAATGTTCATCTCAACCAGGGGATGTGCAGAACTTATGTCACTCTTTTGCTGGCTTAAGGTCAAGGTCACACTTGAAGGTCAAAACTTGACTTAGAAAAAATTCTTAAATTTTAACATTCATTTGAATATACTAAATATAGAAAAGGTATTTGCTTGATACTTGAAATATTTTTGAAGGGTCACAAATACGATATGCTGTTCAAGTTTCATAACTCTGTATTGCATTTAAACAAAGTTATGCCCCTTTTTAAGTCTTCAAATTTACATACAATCAAATATTAGACAAAATGTTGTGTCCGCTCTATAAATCCTATACCAATGGAAGAATTTCCTTCAAACTTTACTCAAATGTTCACCTCAACAAGGTTATGTGCAGAATCCATGTCACCTTTGTACCGGCTAAAGGTCAAGGTCACACTTGAAGGTAAAAAATTGACTTAGAAAATGTTCTTAAATTTTAACATGTACTTGAATAATTCTGAAACTAGCTCAGGCATTTGCTTGAAACTTAAAAGATATATGAGATGTGGCAAATAAGATATGCAGGTCAAGTTTCATTACTCTGTATTGCATTTTGACAAAGTTATCCCCTTTTTAAGTCTTCAAATTTACATACAACCAATACTAGACAATATATTGTGTCTACTCTATAAATTCTATACTGATGGAAGGATTTTCTTCAAACTTTACTCAAATGTTCACCCAAAATGGGTGATGTGCAAAACCCATCTAACCCTTGTGCCAGATTAAGGTCAAGGCCACACTTGAAGGTCAAAAATTGACTTATAAATAAAATGTTTAATGCATTGGGAAAATGAAAGGTTATTTGTAACTGTTTCGAACAGTTTTGATAATATATATTTATACTATTACCTGTACAATTAGTCTTTTTTTCACCAGAGATAATTTCTTTTTATGTATTTGTGCCACATAAATTATTCCCTTAACCACCTTTCCAAGTGGTCTTCTGTCAAGGACATTGGTGGGGGTATGAATCGCATTCAGCGATAGTTCTAGCTGATATACTGGTACTTGTATTACTGTTTGTTTCTGGTTGATATACCGGAACATGTATGACTGTTTGTTTCTGGTTGATATACTGGTACATGTATAACTGTTTGTTTCTGGTTGATATACTGGTACATGTATTACTGTTTGTTTCTGGTTGATATACCGGTACATGTATTACTGTTTGTTTCTGGTTGATATACTGGTACATGTATAACTGTTTGTTTCTGGTTGATATACTGGTACATGTATTACTGTTTGTTTCTGGTTGATATACTGGTACATGTATAACTGTTTGTTTCTGGTTGATATACTGGTACATGTATTACTGTTTGTTTCTGGTTGATATACTGGTACATGTATTACTGTTTGTTTCTGGTTGATATACCGGTACATGTATAACTGTTTGTTTCTGGTTAATATACTGGTACATGTATTACTGTTTGTTTCTGGTTGAGTACCACTGTTTGTTTCTGGTTGATATACTGGTACATGTATAACTGTTTGTTTCTGGTTGATATACTGGTACATGTATAACTGTTTGTTTCTGGTTGATATACTGGTACATGTATTACTGTTTGTTTCTGGTTGATATACTGGTACATGTATTACTGTTTGTTTCTGGTTGATATACTGGTACATGTATAACTGTTTGTTTCTGGTTGATATACTGGTACATGTATTACTGTTTGTTTCTGGTTGATATACTGGTACATGTATTACTGTTTGTTTCTGGTTGATATACCGGTACATGTTTTACTGTTTGTTTCTGGTTGATATACCGGTACATGTATAACTGTTTGTTTCTGGTTGATATACTGGTACATGTATGACTGTTTGTTTCTGGGTGATATACTGGTACATATATGAGTGTTTGTTTCCGGTTAATATACTGGTACATGTATAACTGTTTGTTTCTGGTTGATATACTGGTACATGTATGAGTGTTTGTTTCCGGTTAATATACTGGTACATGTATAACTGTTTGTTTCTGGTTGATATACTGGTACATGTATAACTGTTTGTTTCTGGTTAATATACTGGTACATGTATTACTGTTTGTTTCTGATTGATATACTGGTACATGTATTACTGTTTGTTTCTGAGTGATATACTGGTACATGTATTATTGTGTGTTTCCGGTTGATATACCGTAAATGTATTACTGTTTGTTTCCGGTTGATATACTGTTGCATGTACATGTATTACTGTTTGTTTTCGTTTGATATACCGGTACACGTATTTCTGATTGTTTTCTGTTGATATACCGTTGCATGTTTTACTGTTTGTTTCCGGTTGATATACCGGTGCATGTATTACTGTTTGTTTCTGGTTAATATACTGGTACATGTATAACTGTTTGTTTTGAGTTGATATACTGGTACATGTATTATTGTATTACTGTATGTTTCCAGTTGATACATCAGTACATGCATTATTGTTGGTTTCTGGTTGATATACCGGTGAATGTATTACAGCTTACGCCTCCGTGGTCGAGGGGTTAGAGTTGATGACTTCTAATCCAGTTTCCTCTCTGGTTTGAGTTTGATCCGCGGGAGATGCTTTGGTAGTTCAGGACGGAGGAAATTAGTGGTAGTCTAGTACTGGTGTAACTCTCCAGGAACGATGGTTAGGAAACTTTACAGGAGTGATCAGTACCATCCCTAGTTGTTTGCATAACTGGCACGTTCCGCTTCACTGCCATTTTGGCAGACTGAGCCAAAAATAGAAAAGTCTTTTCTGGTCTTCACAGGTCAAACCTCTGGTGGGATTATAACCAAACTTTATAGGAGTGATCCGTACCATCCCTAGTAAGTTGTGCACATCACCTGCACATTCTATCTTGCTGCTCAAAATGGCCATTAGAGCTATAAATAAAAAAAAATCTTGTCCGGCTTTCACAGGTCAAGCTACTGGTGGGATTTTAATGAAACTTCACATGAGTGACCATACATAGTTTTGGGAGACATATGTTTTTGTGACAAAAACCCTTCTAGTTTCATGATGCCAGTTGTACCCAGTTCTTAATTGTTCTTGATGGTTCGCTATACGGAATGCTGTTGTTTTGATGCACTGGATGGTAGCTGGAATAGTGTAGATACATATGAGCGTCAGTGGGTTTTGTATATACTGTGGTGTGAAGACGACCTTCCTTATCTGTTGTGATATGCGTATCAAGAATTTTTGCCTGGTTAAAATCTATTTTGTACATAAATTTAATTGAGTTATGAAATGTGTTCAGACGGACCTAATGAAGAAAATCATATATTTTATGTTTTAGGAGATAAAAAGACTCAAGGTGGAAGTTTCTCCTCAACAAAAACAGTTAGAAAACGAAAAGATGAAATCAGGTATGTTGTATATAATATAAAAAAGACTAAATCAGGTATGTTGTATATAATATAAAAAGGCGAAATCAGGTATGTTGTATATAATATAAAAAAGGCGAAATCAGGTATGTTATATAGAATATGGAAAGGTGAAATCAGGAATGTTATATACAATGTCAATAGGAAAAAGACGTAAAAAGGTATGTAATATAGAATATGGATAGGCTAAATCAGGTTTGTTATATAGAAAATGAAAAGGCTAAATCAGGTATGTTATATATACAACTCAAAATTTTCTAAGGATCACCTTGCAGCGGCAATACCAGGCCGTAATTATTGCCCACATACACCATACTCTGTGTTAAACATTCTACTCATAACATTTTTCATTTGCAAGATTTTTTTATTCCACTGTGATCTCCAAAATGTTGATTTTTGTCCAGCACACTTTTTCCACAACAGGCACATGTCAAGTAATACTTGCATTGTCATTAATTTCATAAAAATCAATTCCTTACTAATTATATTTAATTCTTTTTGATAAATTTTCACATTTATTACAAATACACAAAACTAACACACTGTAGAAAAAGTGATCCTTTGCAAATTTTTGAGTAGTATATAATATGAAAAGGCAAAATCAGGTATGTTATATGGAAAAAGAAAATGCTAAATCAGATATGTCATATAGAATATAATAAAGGCTAAATCAGGTACATAGAATATGGAAAAGCTAATTTAGGTATATAGAATATGAAAAAGGTAAATCTGGAATGTTATACAGAATGTGAAAAGGCGCTGTCAGGTTTGTTAAAAAGAATGTGAAATGCTAAATCTAGTACAGTCGAACTTCGTTCGCTCAAACTTGAAGGGAAAATTGAAAACAGTATTAACGGTACACTGTGTTAATATATATTCATGCATATTGTAATTGGTTGAGTTCGATCGGGCGATCATTATCCAAACTGTGAACATTGTTCAAAATATATTTACCGGTATATGTTTATTATGGGGTGAATTTTACTTTAAGCATTGAATTAATAAAATATTTAAAATAAAATTACAGCAGCTCTATTTGTAGTCATTTACAAAAATAAACACACGAACAAGTATCATTCTATAAATAGATTACACTGTAACAATTCACATTACATGAACCACGGTTGTAATTAAAGCCGTCCGGGTAAACGTCATTTATTTATTGACTTCTGCGCATTTCAGGAGTTATTTTCCTTTTATCGTTACTAAAGACGGCAAATAAAAAATTGTATCATAAGAAACAAATCGATTACAACACCTTTTTTTTCGTATCAATTAACCTTAATTGCCTTTGTCAAGATCACGAGGTGTTTAAAACATGTGTCACCGACTGTTAATTATTTAGAACATGTCGACCCGCAATTTCTGTTGTCTGTTTGTGTTCGACCAAAAAGGTGTGATTTACACTATATTTCTGCCGAACAGACCAGAGATCAGGTTCGAGTGTTCGAGCTATGGGTGTTCGAGCGATCCGAGGTAGAACAATATATGTTATATAGGAATTTTGCCGGGGCTGGGTGATGAGTTCGAGCGAAGGGCGGTATTTGAGCGATCCGAGTTCGAGCGAACAAAGTTTACTGACTTCCCGAAAGTTAAAAACTGTTTAACTGTATGTTGTATAGAATATGAAAAGGCTTAAGTTAATCATGTAATTATACGTTATATAGAATATGAAAAGGATAAAACGGGTAGGTATGGAAAATTAATAGGCTAAATCAGGTATTTAAAAAAAAATATAAAAAGGCTTAATCATGAATGTATTTTATATAGGATATGAAATGGCTAAATCAGGCATGTTTTTTTTGGAATATAGATAAGCTAAATCATGTTTTTGTGACAAAAACCCTTCTAGTTAATTCATAATTTCATAATACTTACTTATTACTGTATTCCTAGTAATGTTTGCGGATACAATATTTCGCGTTTTTCACAACGTCGGCATTTTCGCAGATTTGTAATAACCGCGAATATTAAGTCGCTACGGCCTAATTTACATGTATTTGATTTTCCATTTATGAATGTCACATAAATAATTCAGGAATTCATGATTGACCTTAAAATCTATAAACTAGAACAAGTGTATTAATCAAAAGTAGCAGCAAATTTCCCGGTTTTGATTTTTGTTTTTTCCCTCGGTCCAGACGTCTGGATTTATATAACCGTTATGTTGTGCTACTTTAACAGTATTGGACTGTACATCGCTTTCATTATAACAACATAACAGCTGTTTATCAATGTAGCTATTGTACTTTAAACAAAGGATTACACCTTCTCCAAGCAAATAAGATCCAAGTCATTTAATGTACTTAAACTGTAAATGCTTTGTATACCACGGTGCATATCCATATCGGTACTCTCTTTGCGAAATCTGCATTGTAGCTTATTGTGAAGTTGCGGTACATGAAAAACTGGCACTTGACAATTCAGCACATAAATTAAACATTCTAGTGTTCAGTGGTATACATCTTTTCTACTTGTCATACCTCCTTTCCTAATTAAAATGAAATTTTACTGGATTGTTATCCATCGCTGGTTTGTTTTTAGCAGAATTTGAGCAAATTTCGCAAAGAGGGTACCGATATGGATATGCATCGTGTAATTAATAAATAATGTGAATTAGCGTGATAATTACTAATAATTGACATTTTTAGCTCGACTTTTCTATGAAAAGGGGAGCTATCCTACTCGCCCCGGCGTCGGCGTCGGCGTTGGCGTCACACCTTGGTTAAGTTTTTCGTACCACCCCACTTTATTTCAGAAGTATTACAAGTATGGCTTTGAAACTTACCATACTTGTTCACCATCATAACTCCATCTACAGACAAGAGTACATAACTCTGTCAAGGTTTTTGACAGAATTATGGCCCTTTTTTGACTTAGAAAGTGTATTGAGCTTGGTTAAGTTTTTTGTACCACCTCACTTTATTTCAAAACCATTGGAGGTATTGCTTTTGAAACTGACCATACTTGTTTACCATCACGACCTTCATCAACAGACAAGAGGACATAACTCTGTCAAGGTTTTTGACAGAATTATGCCCCTTTTTGACTTAGAAAATACATTGAATATGGGTAAAATCCACTTATTGCCTTAACCCTTTGAGATATTGCTTTGAAACTTTTAATGCTATTTCACATCATTACCCCCATCTGTACGCAAGAGAAGGTAACTCTGTCAAGGATTTGTTTTAAAAATTAAGGCCTTTTATCGACTTAGAATCTTGGTTCTTGTATTGCCTTTTACTGCAAAAACTTTTTTTATTGGCAAGCAATAAAAAAGTCGAGCGCGCTGTCTTACGGACAGCTCTTGTTCCATGTTGTTTTTTGTTTTGTTATGTGCCTTATGGGTACTGTCCTAGGATGATAATTTGGTCTTAACGGTACATGGGAAAGTCCAAAAACGGGGTTATCTGGATTATTATCCGATATCGTAAAAGTAAACACTTACAAATACTATATAGCATTATTCTTACAGTATCGTTTGCGTATTACCGTTATGGTTCTGTCGGTAGATCGAAATTATTTGTAACTTTTAGAGTTTTGTTCTCATAGGTTCGAACCCCAAGTAGTGCCATTTTATAACCACAGGTTTTTCTTCTTGCTCTGTTTTTTTATCATTATAATTATTCATTTATTTTCGTTTTCCTTTTTGTTTTCTTCTTATGATATATATTTTATAGTATATATTTATTTTTTATTTCTAATTCTTTTTTCTTTTTGTATTTTTGATCACAGTGAAATAAAATATTCGATCTCATATTCATGTATGCATAAAACCGGTCAAACAATTGACTGTTCTGAGGTAAAAAAAAAAATGTACCAGTAGTCGAACTTATGTCTGTACGGATAAACTCATTACTGACACGGTTGCTCTACCTACTGCGCTAACAAGACATATGATAACATGTAGTTTTATTTTCATTTTTATAGATTGTGGCATTGATCTGCCTAACCTATTTTTCGCATTGTTATTGGTCTTTGTTATGTAAACAAAGGCTCAAGTTATCATCCTAGGACAGTACATGTATATTGAAATGTAAATATGGATTACAAGCTCAAACATGTGGTGGTTTAGTAAGGAGATGAACTTTACATAATTTTTTACATATTTATATAGCACCTGTGTTTATATGTTATTGTGTAAGTAGATTATAATAAATATTTGGAACGTTTATGTTTTTATTTGGTAAAAGCTAGAAATGTTTGCGGATTTGTTAAAGGTGACATATTCGCGGCTATAAAGATTCGCGTAATCATGCCTACCGCGAAAAGCGCTAACTTAAAATGCGCGAAATCTTTTCTAGGAATACAGTATACATTGAAAATAATGATTCATTATGTGTTCATTAATTATCTAAATCACTCATTAGTGGTGGCTTGTCATGTAAATGTTATACTATATTATAATTTTAGAATGGCAGAAAGAGCTGATAGCATCATACTGTAAGAATTTGCTAAAAGTACCAGCAATGCCTTTACTACCACGAGGTCAGAAATGTAACTTCAGTGAGATTTATGTTAGGCCCACTATAACAAGAGAAATAAAAGGAGAGAAAGGGGAGACAAAGGAGATTGAGGTCAAGTCAATGTCAGATATCTTCATAAAGAATGACGTGCCTTTGAAACATATATATGTTCTTGGAGATGCAGGGTCTGGTAAGAGTAGTTTCTGTAAATATTTGGTCAACTGTTGGTGTATTGCACACAGTGATGCACAAAATGTAAATGATAAGTTTGAAGGAGTCAAGGAAATGAAGAAATTTGATATCATGTTTTATATCTCCCTAAGACATAATCAAGACATAGACAGTGTCCAGGATATGATTAAAAATCAGTATGATATTGACATTTCAAGCCCAGTTCTCAAAAAGGACTCTGCAAAGATTATAATATTGCTTGATGGCTTAGATGAATGGTCTTCTGAAAGAAAGTCCTACAATCAGTTCCAGACAATGGGTCTCCCAAAACAGGATGTTAATAAAGACTACACAATCGTAACTACATCACGGCCATGGAAAGTTCACACCTTAGGAATAAGTGAGACAGAAATTGAACAAATACTGAATCTGAAAGGGTTTGATTTGAGATGTGAAAGGGAAATGGTAGATAGAACAGTTTCTCAATTAAATTTCAGCAGGCATGCTAGTAAAGATGCCAGGGTTTGTAAACGAAAGCTAACAGAAAAGTCCCTGGAAAGTTTAAAACAGCTACCAATTATGCTGCAGCAACTGATTTGTCTATGGTTTGATGGTAAACTCGATAAAACTTCAAAATGTGCCATTTACACCGGCATGTTAGAACTTTTCTTTACCTGGAATGACATGAAAACTGCAGGAACAAGTACCCGACTCATGGAGGGTGCTCAGAAAGTAGATCTTCCTAAAACCTTAGCTGATAAAAACATATTAAAATTAAACAGCCATCTCATTTATCATGTGTCAAAGTTGGCTTATGAGACACTATTTAATTGTCCGAAGGATAAATCCTTGACATTTGACATTTGTATGTTTGATGAACTAGAAATATCAGATGAAGTAAGAGAAAATTGCTTGAAACTTGGAATAATTACAGAAGATGAATGTCCAAGTTTATCTGTATCAGAACCACCAAGCTCATTGTTCTCTTTTATTCACAAATCAATGCAAGAATTTCTGGCTGCAGTGAATATTGGTATCAATTTCAATGCAAAAATGTGTTCATCAGATAGTACAGGAAATGTTGAATTAGCCAAGAAGTTTATTAATGAGGTTTTTCAGAAATGTTCAACAGTAAATGACATATTAGAGCAGTCAAATGTTATCATTATGCTATCTGGTCTAGAACCTAGATTAGCAACACATGTTTCAAAATACATATATGATACTGTGTCAAAAGACTCTCGTGTTCAGGAATACAGGAGAACAATAAGTAGTGACATTTATAATAGAATTAGTAGGGATCATCGTTGTATTACTGATATTCAAAAGCTTATGTTTGAGTCAATGGAAGAATTCAATGCAGCATGTAGTATAGGAAGTAATCCTGTATTTTATATAGGAGATTTGGTCATTGATAGATGGGGTCAGTATTGTGATATTGTTTGTTCAGGTATTGATCAGCATCAAATTGTTCCTGACTCTGTTCTGTCTATTAATGTAGATGACATCAACACAAAAAATGTTAAATTTACAAAATATTTACCAATGTTTCATCATCTTGAAAAAATTGCAATAACATATGACCATATATCACAAAGGTTATCAAGTACACAAAGTGATAGTACACAGAGTAATGAACAGATGATTGATGAGATGAACAATTGTGTTTCTGAGACAATTAAAGTAAATACTTCAACATTAAAATCTCTGTCTCTTGATGATGTCTCTTACACTGACAAGTATTACCCAGTGTGTAAAACAGTTGTTAGTTACCTACCTAGTATGATCAATCTTGTAGCAATAAGTATGAGTGATATAACAATGAGTCATGATGATACTACTACATTTTGTAATTTTCTTGAGGGAACCAGTCATCTTGAACAAATATATCTTTTTAATGTTAAATGTGAGTGTAAGAAGCAGCATGATGTAAATTTATCAAAACATCAACAACTTCAGTACCTTCATTTGTATGATACTGTTAGTGTGATAGATGTTGATACTACAAACCTTGAAATATTTAGATTTAGTGAATTGAATATTAGAAATTATGAGAAAATATTTGATATTATTACAAAATCTAACAAATTAAAAGAACTTGAATTGGAAGGAGAATATAACAATGAATCTCAATTATATCATACCAACATAACAAAGAGACTAGTCACAGTATTACCATTGTTACACAATCTCAGTAAGCTTGAGTTACAGTATTGTAGGTTAACTGACAACATAATACAGTCACCGTTAGAGATGAAGAGTTTAAAGAACATTAATCTTTATCAAGTTATAATGAGTTTGACAACATGGCAGAAGTTTGCTGATAGTCTTCCTGGTATTCCTCATATCGTAGATGTATATGTAAGTGGCTGTTATATAACAGGAGATGGTGAGGAGTTTAATGATGATAGGTTTACATTAGGGACATCACAAGGACTTAGTGGAGGGAAGGGAAATGATGCTAAACAGTATGTAAAAGATAAGGATCAGTTATTTCATGTTAAATGTGGTGATGATTGGTTTGACTTTTCAACAAAAAAGTGATAAAGTATACATGTAGTATTTAAACTAAATTATTGCATGTTAAAAGAGATGATACATTTAGTTTTTCATTTTCAAAAAAAAAAATGATCTGAATTTTTAACATATAAAGGAATACATGCAGTTAACATGGTGCTTTATCTACATGTAAATTATTTCATGATAAAAGACATATAAAATAGACTTTTCATTATCAGCACAGTTAACATGGTACTTTATCTACTAGTAAATTATTTCATGATAAAATACATATAAAATAGACTTTTCATTATCAGCACAGTTAACATGGTGCTTTATCTACTAGTAAATTATTTCATGATAAAATACATATAAAATAGACTTTTCATTATCAGCACAGTTAACATGGTACTTTATCTACTAGTAAATTATTTCATGATAAAATACATATAAAATAGACTTTTCATTATCAGCACAGTTAACATGGTGCTTTATCTACTAGTAAATTATTTCATGATAAAATACATATAAAATAGACTTTTCATTATCAGCACAGTTAACATAGTGCTTTATCTACTAGTAAATTATTTCATGATAAAAGACATATAAAATAGACTTTTCATTATCAGCACAGTTAACATGGTGCTTTATCTACTAGTAAATTATTTCATGATAAAATACATATAAAATAGACTTTTCATTATCAGCACAGTTAACATGGTACTTTATCTACTAGTAAATTATTTCATGATAAAATACATATAAAATAGACTTTTCATTATCAGCACAGTTAACATGGTGCTTTATCTACTAGTAAATTATTTCATGATAAAAGACATATAAAATAGACTTTTCATTATCAGCACAGTTAACATGGTGCTTTATCTACTAGTAAATTATTTCATGATAAAATACATATAAAATAGACTTTTCATTATCAGCACAGTTAACATGGTGCTTTATCTACTAGTAAATTATTTCATGATAAAATACATATAAAATAGATTTTTCATTATCAGCAAAAAAAAGGAAAAAATAATACTGAAGTTACATATTGATATGTTAAATAATGAATGTAATACAATATGATAAATAACAATCATCAAAAACAGTTCATTAAATATTAATTTCTAATAATTGTAATAATATTGAAATTGATGAAAGTAATATTGAAATGTTGCAGTGAAATATTATATAATACATGATAGGATAAGGGAATGGTATATGTAAATACTGGTTAAATGAGAAATATGTCAAGAGAATGGTATATATCAATGGTATTTATAGAATAGTTGAATGTTATTAGTAAATACTAGTTATATGATATATAGAACAAGGGAATGGTATATAAAAATATCAGTTATATGGGAGAAGTGAATGGTATAACTATATGTAACTACCAGTTATATATGATATGAAGGATAATGGAATGGTATATACACTGTAGCCTCGATAACTCGCTCTTCAGTATTGCGCTAATCTCAGTATAGCGCTCATAGACATTGGCTCCCGCCGGGATATATACCTGTCCTTGACTACCCTTTGGGGGATATATATTAACAGCTACCCCTCAAGGGGGATGTATTCCAGTTCTCGGCATAAGTCAGTTCTCATTTGCAGCACAGGGATATCTACAAGTCTCAGCTATACCTGAGGGATATATACAAGCTCTTGGATGTCATTATGCTCTGTCACACAGACAGCCAAGTTTTATAAGTTTATATACAATAAGATGTTTATGTTCATATGTTATTTATGTTTTGGTTGAATTAGAATTTCTTTAATGAAACAATTTGTCATATTTTAGTACCAAGACATTATAACATTATAGGTATACATAAGTTATATTTCTGCTGATGTTAACATAATTATGATATGCTATTTTACATGTATTGTAAAACATATGTTACATGAAATAAATCAAACTTATATACCAAAATTAAGAAATGCTATGTGTAAACACATATTACGCATGTCTGTTTGTTACATGAAATTCTGATTGAATGTATATAGTACATATGTAAACATATTAGTACATGTAAATAAATGTTTATTGTATAATTACAGACTATTGCAATCCTTTTATGAAAATAAGATTACATTATTTTATAACAAGAAATGTTATGTGACCTGTGACTATACATACATTTTAAACAGTTTTACCTGTTTGTTTTAAAGGCTCATTAAGACTGAAAAAATGCAATCACTTTTATTTTTAAACACTTTCATTTTTTGTGCTGAAATTGGCCATATGTCTGAGCCATCTTTAGTTTCTTTTGCAATTTAGCAACAAGTACAGTTATGATGAGTTAGTATTTTATATGGATGTGAAATAACCATTTTGTTTACAATTTGCTTCACTAATCATATTTTCTTTTCAAACCCATGTTTGTCATGTGAAAAGAATATCACATGCTGTAAATCTATTACTACAACATTATTAAACACATATTAGCCCTTTTTACAAAAAATAAAAATCTATTCATTACTGAGTTGTTATGTGCCTTTAAACTTTAAATGTATTATGTAGAGTAAATTCATATAGTACATATAATTACTTTGGAGATCTTATGAATTGTTTACTAGATATATGAATGTTTATATTTATTTCATGCTTATATATGTTATGTCTTGTGAATATATGCATCAAATATGTTTGTTTGTGACTTGGAATAAAGATTATAGCATTCAAGTATATTGTAAACCTTTATTTACATGTACATGATAAACAAATCTGTATTGGCCATGTTTTTGCTTAAAAAATATGTATGAAGTCAGGATAAGTTAATGCTAGAATATGTTAAGTTAATTGTACGTACATATATATTTAACATGGATAATTATCTTGAAATGTACATTGAAAAGTATGTTTCTACACAAGTAAACATAATTTTGTTTGTATAAATATAAACTTGTCTGAGAGCACTTATCAATTTTAAAATTTGCACAATTCTATTCTCTTTATTTATTGAAATTTATTTGTTTATTGGAATAAGTTGGTTTTAATGAAGAATTGGAAGTAAATACATAACAAAAGATTTCGTTTTATTGGTCATAAGCAATGTGATGGCAACTAGAAACTTTTAACAGTTCTATTCAGTATCATATTAATTATAACTTTGTTAAAGTGTTTCTTGATTTTTTGTTCTATTATTGGATTATTGATAAAGCTATGGAGAACTATATGGAGTTTAAATAGTTTTAATAGCAATACACATTTATTTCAGCCATTGATTGACAAAGATTTTTTTCTTGTGTCATGTCCAACAATATGTATTTTTTAACTTGTAGACTTTTAAAATTTCCTCCCTGTATTTAGAACGAACAGATACAACAAGAAAATAACATCGTAATGTTAAATATGCGCAAAAAATGGTATGGACGTAAATTGTTATTGATTAAGAACTATCTGAACGACATTTTTCAAATGGTAGCATATAATATTATATCAGTATAGAGAAATGTTAACAATATATAACCATTAGATCTTTTCACAGAAACTTTAAAGGGAGAATTGTTTTTATCCCCCGCCGATGAAATCGGGAGGGGGATATAGTTTTGGCGTTGTCCGTCCATCTGTCCGTCCGAATTTCGTTTCCGGAGTAGTTCTCTGCAACTACTGGCTGGAATTCAACGAAACTTTAGGGGAATCATCAATATCAAGAAGAGATGCGCATATTGTCGGCTTGTTCCGGTCAGACCCTTTAACTCAGAGTTATGGCCCTTGATTAGTTATGTAGTATGCATATGGAGTAAAAATCGTTTCCAGAGTAGTTCTCTGCAACTACTGACTGGAATTCAACAAAACTTTATGGGAACCTTCAATACCAAGAGGAGATGCGCATATCGTCAGCTTGTTCCGGTCAGACACTTTAAGCCAGAGTTATGGCCCTTGATTAATTATGCCATATGCATATGGAGTAAAAATCGTTTCCGCGCTACTTTTCTGTAACTACTGGCTGGAATTCAACGAAACTTTATGGGAATCTTCAGTACCAAGAGGAGATGCGCATATCGTTGCCTTGTTCCGGTCAGACACTTTAACTCAGAGTTATGGCCCATGATTAGTAATGCAGTATGCATATAGAGAAAAAATCGTTTCCGCGCTACTTTTCTGCAACTACTGGCTGGAATTCAATGAAACTTTATTGGAACCTTCAATACCAAGAGGAGATGCGCATATCTTTGCCTTGTTCCGGTCAGACACTCTAACTCAGAGTTATGGTCCTTGATTAGTTATGCAGTATGCATATAGAGAAAAAATCGTTACCGCGCTACTTCTCTGCAACTACTGGATGGAATTCAATGAAACCTTATGGGAACCTTCAATACCAAGAGAAGATGCGCATATCATTGCCTTGTTGGGGTCAGACACTTTAACTCAGAGTTATGGCCCTTGATTAGTTATGCAGTATCCATATAGAAAAATATTCGTTTCCTCATTACTTCTCTGCAACTACTGGCTGGAATTCATTGAAACTTTATTTGAACCTTCAATACGAAGAGGAAATGCGCATATTGTCACCTTGTTCGGGTCAGACTTTTTAACTTAAGAGTTATGACCCTTGATAAATTAGGCAGTATACAACCAGAGCAATAATCGTTTCCGTGCTACTTCTCTGTAAGTACTGGCTGGAATTCATTGAAACTTTATGGGATACTAAGAGGAGATGTGCATATATTTATCAGGTTCAAAGAATATTACTGTTTATGCCATGATTATTATATAAAGAAAGCCTTATGTCTTCAGTTGTTGTGTTAATAATGACCAGTACTCGGCGGGGGATATAAATTCAACGAATTTGCTTGTTTCTACTTGTTATGTTATTGATGTAATAACAATGGACTTTGAAATTTGTAAAATGTTTTTGTTTGCTTGTTTTTGATATAATGAGTGTGTGACTGTTTCCATAATAAAAAAATGTACAGAATTGATCTTTTAATTATATATTTGTTTGCCCGACTCTTACAGAACTAAATAAGGGCATAAAACCTGTTGAAACTTTACTTCCCAATTTTATCTCATTTATAAAGACAAAGCTCTTAGTACATTAATAGCGTCAAGCATAACTCTGTGTACAATATATGCACAGTACTACGAATGAGACCCTGTCTCGTAAAATAACGTGTGAGACAAAACACAATCATTAGTAATGGAACTGCAATTGGAACAATTTCCGTATAACATGTTAGGAATGGAACTGCAATTGGAACAATTTCCGTATAACATGTTAGGAATGGAACTGCAATTGGAACAGTTTCCATATTACATAACATCAACAAGTCTGTAAAATACATAGCTATATGATATATCCAAAGTGTTAACCAATAATATTTGAAGTTATATATGACGATATACAAATTCTTCCAATTTGAAAATAAGTTGTTACTGCACGG